AGGCTTAGCAAGTGTCTTCACAGGCATTTCCACATCCGAGTCAAACTTATCAATCGTCAGTTGAAAAAAGGATGACAATCGTGCGGGCTTGATAGGCTTTTCTTTAGAGGGTATTCTTCAAGCAAAGTAAGATCAAAGTCTACAAAATCTCTACAAGCTTGATGGCGAACAGTTACACCTTATTTACTGCTGCTGTTAGTATGATGGGCTGCATGATGAGCTAAGCCCTTAATGATTCGTAATACTATGCTACTTTGCGCCACTTTTCTCTACATCTACCATTATACGGCTGTCATACTTATCCTTCTCCACTTATATCTTCGTGGTGAATATACGTTATAATGGTGGATCGTTACCTCACCACTCCGTCGGGTGTTGTGGTGGTGGCTGCTGCTGCAATTCTTCACTTCGGTGTGTTGATGCTTTTGATATTGGAAACAATGCTAGTGGCGGTGGGGAGGACTGCAACGATGACTTCTACTTTCTATCATTACTAAGGAGTACTACTGCTGGCAGTCGGTCGCTACATCGTCGTCTCTACCTTTCCAGAAATCAACTGCTACTGATGCTGCTGCTGTGACAGCGGGTCGGTCGTCTGTCCCGCCGCGACCGAGGGCGTTTTATCCTCATAATTTGCTGACTAATCAGTAGAGATTGAACTGCTATTGTATTCTTCTAAGTAAATACAGAGGTACCTTACCCCATCATTAACGCTAGAAAGCTCGAATTTTTCGAATTTGAAGTTGGCCCGAGCCGGGTTTTTTCTTAGCTGATTAGAGGTTTGGCGTAGTCCTCCTATTTGAATCAGCGTGGTAATAAGTAACATTGCTTTTACTATTGCACAATGTAGCAATACTTACATGAAGCGGGATCGTTCTGCTACACCAGACTATATCCACACATAACGCGTACTGGGACGATACATTTATCAAGGGTGAACTAAGAATCATACATGTGATTTTTGCAGCGTTTTTATAGCAAAGGGAAGTTTTATCCGGGAGAGAGGCCATCTGCTAGAAGTGGAGGGTAAAAGTATCACTGGGCGTCGCTGGAGATTGATTAACGACTTGCCAATTTCTAGATCTGTGACACCAAATACTTATTTGTAATCGTGCAATCTTAGTTTAGGTAAAATATGGACACTGGTGAATTGGTCGATAAACTAACTGATAACTTTGCGCAGGCTATGCTGTAGAAGAATTCATTTCTGTAAGTGTGATCGTCACTTTGCAAAAAATGTAATCATCACTTCGTATGGTTCAATTTATACTTAGCATAGCCTGTCAACACTAACACACGAGTAAGAAATTACCTCCTACTTCAGCAAATGGTTTCTTACTTGTAAGGTGCACACCACCTATAACATGTAGCAATCTTATCGGCGATCAAGTTTGAAAATGAAAGCTTTATATTTTTCGCCGTTTTGCAACCGGAAACGCCTATTTCAACGCTCCCTTCGCACACGATAAGCACATCTTTAGCACGTTTGAAACTCCAATAAATGTACGAATAAGTCAACAATTACCAGCATGCCGTGCCCCAACAAATGGCCACGGCACTTGCAGGTTATGAGGGCAGTTGCTGCGACTGCAGTGTCATTTATAATTAATGGGAGATTATCAGCCAAAACGGGCCTTGGAGAAAGACTGTCACTGCGGTCTGCTGTCGCACTACAAACGCTAGGATATAGTGCAAACCGACCTTCATCGAATTGTTTTGAGGAGGATCAAATGGCATGCTCGAAAAAGACCTCGAGCACATGACCCTAAAATCGCTTGTTTCTCTCTCAATACTTTCCGCCGTTATGCTCGAAAGTGCTTATAAGACATGGACGTATAACGCATGATCCTGACTAGGAAGGCCGCCGAATACGCCGTAAAGAAGGATCGGTTGCATTGTAAAGTTCCAAGTTACGTTTAACGGATGTGAACGTTTTAAATGCTGCCAATTATTGTGCTTTGCAATAGCTTTGGCAAAATGTCATGTGTTTGATGGATTTGGATAATGAATTCGTCGTTTCAGTGAGTAGAGGACATAAACAGGCAAAACAATGCCGTTAAGGGCGACGACAGCCATTTTTGCACTTTTTAAACTGCAAAAGTGGTACTTTTACGCAAATTCATCTACTATTTACTAGGGTTGCATGTGAAAAATTTCGATAAAATCGAGATAAATAAGTCAACCCGGGGGATTGGGGGGGGGGTAAAATCTGGCTCGCCGCGAGCCAAAATCAATAAAATTTGTTGGACTTTAGGTCCTACAACTTCGCGGAAACTTTGTCAAGCTAAACTCTGAGAGCATAGGAACGAAGCTGGTCGCATACTCTCGCCATCTCTGGTCTTAAATCTGTGTCTAAAGAAGAACGGGGTGAGGAGAAGCTGAGTGACGGAGATCGAAAATAGTTACAGGTTATGGATGGGGCACACTATAGTTGTCGCCTGCTCCGGACGACGATACCATTGCTTCATGGATATCGCACAAGGGCCGATTGGTCTGAGAGCGGCAGCTGCAATTCTCGGCGTTCTTGCGATTGGTTCACGAGCCATGCAGGACGTAGTGTGTCGAACAAAAATGCGTTGAATCGCTTACGTTGGCTTCGAACTGCCATCGCGTGCTCGAAAGTTGTAGACAAGTTGACAGCTTTACAAGAGCACGATGTCCTTCGTCGCAAGAAGCTCAATCATGTCAAGCGTTATGCAAATCTGTCGCTTCTGGAGGTGCTGGCGACGCACGGCAAGGGCCCCAAAGGCCCACAAATTACCCGTTGGGTCTTACAAGTTACCCGCAAAGTTAGTCGACCGATCGGGTCGCGATGACGCAGTTATTTTCGGTAAACGCAAGCGTACCGCGTTTGTACCATCGAGTTCAACTCCGGGGTATGTGTACTGTTACTTCAGCGCCGATCGTTTCTATGCTCGTGCAGTTCAGAGCCTCGAGGGAAACGAAGCACCTGATTAGTAATGACTGCAACCCTAGATGTGGCGAGTTGTACAATGCGACAGCACACGCAACTGCATGCCATTGCAGCTACCACCTATCCAATTGACACACGTTGTCAAGAAAAGCACAAGGTCAACGAGGTTCACTAGGATCCTCCTTTGATCCTTTGTCAGTATGGTATAGCACAACGCTTTGCATGGTGTTAGCAGCACCAGATATTGAAATGAGTGGATGGAAGACAATGTCGGATCGAAGTGGGCGTAGAATCAGTCGACGCGTACTTTCCTGACAAACTGATGTAAGATGAGTTTACTGCCGCAAAGTCTCAGCTCCAAGCCAAGTCAGCTCTCTTGAGCAGAACAAGTCAGTCCATGTCTGGGCCGCGCAGCACTGAGTTTAGTTACACATGATTAGAACCATCCCGTTCGGCATAGGCCCAGACGAAAGTACGAGTAGCAGCATCTGACGACGACGACGTTACGGTATGAGGGCATACGTGATCGTGCCATGACTGAGCCGGTGAAACGTCTGCAAGAGTCGCGAACGCAACGCTACGGTGCTCAAGTGCGTCGGCTTGCACTGAACATCCGGAAACCTGCGTGCGGCTGAACGGATCGAGGATCGAAACGTGGCGATCTGCTGGCGATGTGGGGCTCAACTCGATCCGTCAAGACGTGATATCATTTTCGGTGCTGACAACGCCACTTCAACTTTCCGTTTCACCCGCGTAACAAGTCGTGCTGACGACAGCTTTGAGAACGACAGGAAGAGCGGTATCATGTTGCGCTAATCGACATGGTTGGTGCAAGACTTGTCGGATATCATACAACTGTAGGACTATATGATACCAGCGGTAGTACACTAACAGCACCTCAGCAACGTCAACTCGATCAGTCATCATTGGCACACACCGGTGTCATGGCAATTAGGACATACAGACGAGGCCCAGCCACATGGCGCGCTTCCTTCATGTGCATACAATGCAGCGACCAAAGAAGTAGCCGGCAAGTGTGCAATACAATTTGCGGGCTTGGACCGTGGGGACAGGCACACAAACAAATGTGCTGGCGCCAGAATAGACATCAAATGTTGCGTACGTACGTCGTTGCTTCACACGGCCGTTCTCGTGGTAACACCTGAGTCTTGTCAGCTACGCGCTGATTCGCCTCGTGTCGCGCAGGCACCGAGATAGTTTGCTGCTCGCACGAGACGTGAGTTCAGTTCATTCACTACTCTCTCGGCAATATACTTCACACACAGCCTCACGAAATGGGTTATTTTTGCCTTGACGCCCCCCACCTGAACGCCCCCCACCTGAACGCCCCCCACCTCGCTCGAGAACGAGACACAGCATTGCTCGCTCTCCCCCAGATAGATGGTATCATCTACTGTCGGCGACTGCTTTCCCATCGCACGCGCACCGAGTTCCTTCGTTCTCAAAGTCACGTGGTGGCAAAACTGATTCGGACTGCAGAAATCAGAAGTAATGGGCAAGTGCAGCGATCGACGTCAACGTCCTCGTCCAACCCTACTGCTTGACTCTAAGGCGTTGGAGCTGGCCCTATCTTCCAGATCGGAGACGACCGAACAGTAGTCCCGCTCGTCGCGTGTCCCCACGGCACCGTTTCGGCCCATCGGTCGATCTTCCAGCAGGGCGACGCCTGATGACAAACTTGCACAAGCCGCCGCCCCATGCGCGCCGGACATAAATCATCTCTGACGTCTCCTCTCCAGCCGACTTGACCGAATACTCGCTCCCCTCTGCTAAGTTGACGCGGCCAAAGTGTCCGTTTGTCTCGCCCGTTGTAAGGCAGAAGACCCGTCGCGGCCGTCGTAAGTCGACACCGCACCAGAGCCCGAGGGCATGTCCGTCGCCAGGAAGATTCGGCGCCGCCTGCAGGACGTCCGCCTCGCCCCCGAACGTTCACTCGGCAATTCCTCCCCTTGACCGCACTGCACCGCACCGCACTGCACCGTACCGCACCTTTACCCCACTTCGTCCTCCCCGTCTTCTCTGCCCTTCCACCACTCGCTCTCGACGCCAACAACTAATGCCAGTGATGCAGACCACCGACGACGAATTCAGTGCCCTCAAGTGCCGCTACGCGAGCAAACGCTGCTGGAACCTGCGCGCGATCAAACGCAATGGCGAGCGCCACAACCTCTGCGAGATGCACCGCCAGAAGGCCAACTCCAACCAGCGCCGCCTCGACAAGAAGCGCAAAGCGGGCCAAGCGCCGCTCGGGCTGCCCGCGCACCTATCGCCCCACGCAACGGGCGCTGACCTCGAGCGCCGCATGCGCATGCGCGCGTCCATTGCGCTCAAACTCGAGCGCGAGCTCGGGGCGCTGCCGCTCACGACGCAGTACATCCGACCGCCTCCTCGGGCCACTGCGGCGCTCGCTGAGCTGCCCGTCCCGCACCGCCACGGGGCGTTCCGTAGCAGCATTGACGCGTGGCGCGAGTCGGCGCGGTGGCTGGACGCCGCGTACCCGCGAAGCCCTCGGGCGATGCTCCGCGCCGCTGCAATGGCAAAGGCGACACCAGCGGATGTCGCTCCGGACTCGCGCAAGTGGACGGGTCATCGTCGCACGGTGTTGGGGGGCAGTCCCTCTTCCAAGACAGTTGCAGCAGTGATTGCCCCTCGCGAGGCGGGTCCGTCGATGCTTTTGCCGTCTATCGCGACGGCCGTTGCGCGGTCGAGCGAAGGACTGAAGAGGCCGTCGTCGATGCTACAGCGCGCGTGGCAGCCAGAGGGGATCCGACGGACGCCGGCGCTCGTGGCGCGTGCCAACATGTAGGAGTATTGATGCCCGCAGGTGGTGGTGTACAGTAGTAGATGAGAGTAAGATGGAGAGTAGAGATGGAGAGAGAGAGATGGAGAGAAAGGGCGCTGAGCATGTTCGACCAGGTCGCGCTCGTGAGCGTCAGACAGTAACGAGTTGAACGAGTTGACCAGTGGCCGATCCCGTTGCGCGTCTCTCGTGGCGTCAGACGAGATGCGGATGTTGTAACACGGAACAGTTTCTCTCTCTCTCTCTCTCTCTCTCTCTCTCTCTCTCTCTCTCTCTCTCTCTCTCGCAGTGTGTGCGCGTGACAACGCGACCGACGGAGCCACAGGGCCACCAGGTGGCTACAAACACCACCTGCACGGGGGGGCGACAGGTCCTACACTGGCGACAATACGAATGCACTGCATTCACGTCACGAGTTGTTTGCTTTGCACTGCTGTAAACAACGCCGACGGCGATCTCGTCGTCGACCTCTCGAGTCCACGGGCGCTTTCCCCCCCTCCCCCACTTTCGATGCAGTCGTCGGAACAGAGACGCTGGAGGCAAAGTCGCCAGCAAAGTCGCCAGCAAAGTCGCCAGCAGCAGTAGCAGTAGCAGTAGCAGTAGCAGTAGTAGTGGCGGTCTCGAAGGTCGGTGATCCGACCGCAGCAAAGCGAGGAGGCGCCTGTGCGACAGAGTGTCTGCGCCGTCCAAAGAGCCCGTGCCAACCCGATGCGCGCCCGCCCGACCATCTGGTTCACCCACCCTGGAGCCATCGTGCTCGATTTGCGGCCGGGTGACGGACGGACGGATGGGATCTTTCGCCGGCAGCTGACTGCAACAGTCTCAGCCCCGATGGGCGATCGCTCCATCTCTCTCTCTCGACCGACTGACCGACTGATCGATCGAGCGCGCGAGCGATCATTTGCCCTTTCGCCGTCTCTCGAGCACAATGGCCTCTCGATTCTGCGCTGTCGCATCGCGTCCGACCGCCACTGCCTCTGTCGCCTCTGCCTCTGCCACCAAACGCACTGCCGCTGCTACTGCCACTGCCACAGCGCTGCCGCCGCAACACGACACGGACGTCATGTGCCGCTACCCGAGCAAAAAGTGTTGGCACCCGCGCGCGCTCAAGCGCAACGGCGAGCACCACAACCTGTGCGACTTTCACCGGCAAAAGGCCAACAAGAACCAGCGCCGCCTCGAGCTCAAGCGCAAGGCCCGCGCACAGGGCTCGGCCGACTCGGCGATGCTGCCGGCGGACAAGAAGCGCCTTCGCTACCACAAAGAGGCGACGCCCGCTCAGAGGCGTCGTGCGCCTCTCAGTGCCCACGTGGCCATGAAAGAAGAGGCACAGGCCAAGCAGCAGCAGCAGCAGCAACAACAACAACAACAACAGCAACAGCAGCAACAGGAAGAGGAGGCGAACCGAGTGGTGGCGGCCTCTGGGCTCACGAGCTGGTTCCTGCAGGACCTCGTGCTGCTGGACGGCGTGTACGACCGGGCGGGCTTTCAGGTGAAGGAAGAGCTGCCCCTGCCGGCCACGCCGTTTATTGAGCTCCCACGTCACGTGGACGCAGTGGACGTCGAGACGCTGGCGCACGTGTTGGCAGATGGACCGAGCGACGCCTGCAAGAGTGTGGAATACGCGAGCGCAGGGCTCGAGGCGCCAATGTACGAGGGCAAGACTTCGCCAGTGGACGTGGGCGAGAGCTGGGACACTTTGGACCTCGGGTATGATTCGTGGCTGCCCGTGGACCCGCCGAGTGTGACCTTTGACGCGTCGTCGTTCGGCATGGAGGAAGATATGTTTGTGGCCGACGTGTGAGCCGTTCGCGTTTATTTATTGTATTGTAAACAGAGGAGAGAGAGAGAGAGACGCTCTCTGTCCAAATAAAGCCGAGCGAGTTTGCTCGTCTCGTTCGGTCGCGCGACTCTCTGAGCTGTTGTAATAGGGCCTCGTGACCGACTGACTGTGACGGACTGGCGGAACGTGAGCACGTTGTCAAGAGCGGATAAGTGCACGTAGTGTCATACTGTACGCTCTACGCGTTGACTGCACATTCAGCCGCTGATGTTGCGCTCGGTACGTGCGATACGGTTACTTTTGCACACGCACAGTGAGAGGCCCAAAGTTGAGCTGCCAAAGGTGTGGCGACCAAAACATGCACACGCCATTGTTGAATGTCGTCGCAATTGCTACTGCTGGTCGCAGGTACTGTTGCTGGTCGCAGGTGCTATTGCTGGTCGCAGGTGCTATTGCTGGTCGCAGGTGCCATTGCTGGTCCAAGTGCCATTGCTGGTCGATGTGGATGTCGCCCAGCAGCACGTGCGACAAGGCGCAAGCGACGGTCAAGTACGACAAGATTTTTGATGCACTGTCCAAGTGGCGCAACTTCCACGTGGTCTTTTTTTGCGAGAGACAGAGGACTACTGTCCACCACGACGACTACAGCAGTCATCACGCCATGTGGCGCAATGGGAAGGGACGAGGAAGCGACAAGGGATCTTCGTGTGACGGCAGTTCAGAGGCAAACTCCACGAACAGCTGCCGTGCGCGAGAATCAGCTCCGTTTGTGTGGATAAGTTGAAGAGGCCGTGACGTCCGTGGAAGAAACCAACAAGTGGAATGGCGCAGTTCGACCTCTTTTGGCTTCTGCGTCGCTGAAGTATGTCACGTCGGGTTTGCCACAAGTGTAAGCGCTGCTCGAGTCGTAAACACGTTGCAGCACAAGGCCAATGTAAAAGTCGGGCAGAAGATCGATGATGATGACGATGATTAGGATGTCTCCCACAGTAGTGAGCTTTTACTCTGTTCAGGCAGACATGACCGTGCTCCTTGCCAAACGTCGGCTCTCGCTCGATCACTGCTTCGCTACACGTAGTATAGAACAAACAAAAGGTTGTGCACATGCAAGGAAAAGCTAGATGTGCAGAGACGCTCGGGGCCATAACGTGCTGACGATAGCTCCTGTGAGTGCCAAGAGATTCAACCGCTGTCTAGTACGCTCGACCACTCCAATGAAAGTATACTCTGGCAAAGACAGGAACACGAGTGTCGATTGTCCAACTGGGAGGATCGGTGTGGTAAGGCCTACGTGTCAGCATCGACGCGGTACCATCAACGAATTTGCCATAGCTTGGAAGCAGACACAACCGACGTTTGTTCTCGAGCAGTATCCAGTGGATCAGCAGACGGCAGAAGAGGGTGCTCAGAGTGACATACCCACGACAAACGCGACTTGGCGTTATGCTCGGAAGCAGAAACAGCAAGAGGAGCTGAGGCGAGTGAAAAGAGAGTCCAAATGGATGGAGGTGGTCTGACAACGACACATTGAGATCAAGAATCGATGTTCCTCCTGCCAGGACACGAACGGCAAACATGCCACATCCTGTTGCTGGTCGCAGTTTGCTCGGCGATAACGTGGTGCGGCGGTGCACAACAGGGCCTTTCACTACTCCCGAGGAAGCAACCTACGGTCTATCGTCAGCTCATGCTTCAATTTTAGTCTTTTTACTCGACGGTCGTCGGGACTTCTTCGAGGACCTGGGCGTGGCAATCGGCTCGCGACTTCCTTCCGGCACCTTTTCCAGCACAAACTTCTCCAGGTCACGGAACGTCTTGTTGTCAATGTGGTCAATGACAACGTCTAGCTCGTCCGGTGAGCTCTTGTCCAGCGCTTTCGGGCACTGCTCTTCCAACAGCTGCACAATCGCGCCCATATCCTTGGGCGCGACTTTGTATATGTTCTGGCTGAAGTAGATCTTTTCTTCTAGACTCGGAGCTCTGTGTCATCGTAGCGCAACAAACAAGCAGTGTCAAACAGAATCACACATTGACCAGCGCTATCCGAGCCACAGGTCCAACGTACGGGATACTCTTGTCAGCTCTGGATACGGGGCCCACGTCCAGCTTCATCGTCTTGACACGGTCCTCGAACTTCTGCGCAAGCTCATCAGCCAGTAGATACAGGTCCGATCCGTCCTGGTTGTAGAGCTTGCAATTGCTCCACACTAGACGCGTGTCCCGTGCAAACTCGGCGGGCTTCTTGTACTCGTTCTTGCTCAGCTTGCTCCGGATCGTACCTAGGTCCATGGGTTCCTTGACTACCTGCAGATAGTCGTACAGACCCCATTCTTCCCAGTTCACACGTTCGCGGAAGGGCTCTAGAGCAGCCAATACACGACGTAAACAAGTCTTGTCGCCACTTTTGCTCGAGCTCAGGATCACCACCACACCAATCAATCAATCGAAACAGTTTCTCACCGCAGCTGTCCAGTTTGAAGAAATGCTCCAGAACGTCGGTACACTTCTTCCTGATCTCGGGGTCCATAATAGAAACCCAGAAAGCAAACGAACTCGACGGCGATCAATGGCGCGCAACGCGTCTGTCTGCACGAGTCATACGAAACGTGACCCAGTGAGAGTGTCAAGACGGGTATCACACGCGATGGGGGCGTTGGCACACGCATCGAGACGCCGTCAAAGGCGCTGCTCGTACCTTACGGAAGTCGTGGAGTGCATCGGCTGTTACAGCGAACGGGTGCGGGGTGCAATATAGCCAATCAGAGCCTGCTTTACGCTTGTCTACAGGTGTAAAGCAGGTGCGCCTTTCGACCGCTTGTTGTCTTCCATCGGCCAGTCGGAACTTCCTTTGCCTCGTTCGATCCTTCGTCGGTGGTAGTCGAACAAAACAGACTCGAAAAAAGCGCTTTTGGCCGACTTGCTCGAAAAAAGCGCTTTTGGCCGACTTGCCACGAGGTCGTTTCAACTGATCGCACGCGCAGTCTCAATCGTCGTACAAAACGAACGTACACGTCTGTCCGACGGCCACCAGCGCAAAACGGTCGAATACAATGCAAACGGAATGGCGTACGCGAAAGGACAGCACAGCGCACATGTAACGCCAAGTTGCAGTTCGCCTCTCTGCTCGCACCACCATCGCCAGTGTTTTGGAAGAGCAAGAGAAGTAAAAATCGGTCATATGGGGTACTGTAGTCTAAGAAAGGGCTGGTCGATTCCACTCTACTCATACAGCACCAGAGAGCTCCACCGCCAGTCGTGGATCAGTGCCGCTCAGCTGGAGAAACCGAATGCTGCGTGCGGAGACCTCATGTGTATCGTAGTGCAAAACATCACAGGGGGTATCAGGTGTTCATATAGTTTAGCGTCTTTGGGTGAGTCAAAGACGATGGAGGTGGAGCTTACGACGCCTTCGCGACATTTCCTGTTGCGATGAGGTGCTTTCATATACGCGAAGGACACAGCGTATCCGAAGCTTTTGGCAGAACGAGCGGTAGCTACTTCGACGTGTTTTGTGGCTTGCTTGCGTGTTCTACGCTGCTTTGCGACTCTGTGCAGTAACACGACGACACTTTGCAAGCAGAGACCGCACGAATGGAACCGATGTGGTTTACGATATTACCAAGAATTCGGCTAGGTTGGGCTTACGCAGACGAAAAGAATGGACCACAAGTAGGCAAGCTGACGGGGCGATGCAAACTTCACGACGGCATAACGTTGTAGATGTGCTTTGACTCATCTTTGATGAGATTTGGGGTACGTCAAGCAGATACGTTGGTAGCCCGTGCTATTTCACGAAACGCTCGCTGGCAGTGGGCTCCGAACAAGTAGGACTTGGACGAGGCCCCGCTGGCAATATGGAGCTGCGGAGCAGAACGCCGGACTGTCCGAAAAATCTCTACGCTATTCCGTGTCCTGTGAATGCTCCGTGTCCTCCATAATCGTGAAAAGCTCTTCTAGACACAGCATTGACGTGTCCCGTGGAACGGGTGACTCATTCAGATCGTTTTCTGTGGTGCTACTCGATGACGCACCAGCTACCAGACATGATGGCGTATCCTGCAGTGGAACTTCATCAGAACTAGCGGTGCCATGACTGTTCGACGTCCATCCAGCCGGCTCTTCTTCGCCCAGGTCCCTTATGTCCAAGAAAGATCCAATTGCAGTGAGTACGTGACACTGGAGGTTGACACAGCAGCGCACTTGGCGCTTCGGGGCCATGCGGTACACGGCAAGCGTCGACGCGATGAAATGCTGCAGCTGCATCTGTCGCTCTCTCGCAGTCCGGATATCGTCGTCTCGGTGTAGCTTCAGCTTCAACTTGCGCCGTGGGAATTTCAGCGTGGCAAGTTGCCGAGCAAGCACTTGACACGCGCCGTTGGGGCATCGGCGCTCACGTCCCTTTTCCTGAGCTGTCTCAGACGCGTGTACCTTCCGCAGCAATTGCTGTCGCAACGCACGAAATTGAGAATAGCGCCTCTGTATCGCAAACTGCTCTTTGCCCGTGTCCACGAGCAGCTTGAAGGTGCAGTGGTCGCTCACGCGGAAGACGTCCAGAAAGCGCACAGTTGTTCCAATGATCACGTGGTCGGGAAGTACACTGAAGCTCGGGAGATGGGCTTCGGACGTGGCCATACGATCGCTCAATGAGTGGCGTGTCCGCTGCAGCAAATTATCGACGGCAACGGAGCTGCGACGTTCGACCAACTCGCGCGTGTGACGTACCAACTCGTCGGCCGCCAGAGCCGAAACGTGACGTGGCTCCATTATGCAATTGGTGTCCAGGAAAATTGCTGTCCGGGCCGTCCGTCTGTCACGAAGTAAGAGAAGTGGACGAGTGATGGAAGTTCATCTGACCTCAAAAGCATGAATTTGAGCATGATAGAGAGCGACAGGCACAGCGCTTGACTGCAAACAATCGCTGGGCAACTGAGACCGACGGTTTTGGCAGATAGACTTGCGGGAGGTTCGACATAGAAGCTGTAATGGGAAAACGCACACGCTAGGCAAGGGAACACGCTTGTCTAACGCGTCCGTAGGACAGTTAAAAGAGCTCTCCATGATGGAGAGAGAGGGGGATAATGTATCTGAAGGTTGGGGCAGTCATTGCTGATTTGTACTGTCCTGGACAAAGAACGACTCGATCATTATTTCTGCGATAAAAATGGTCCAGTGTCGTATCGAAAGGTGTTTCGGCTGCGGTATCGCCTCTATGCCGATGAAGATCGCTCGTATAATGCCGTGCGCGCTAGAGCTCGTGTGATACGATGATGCTCAGGTACAACCTCCTACGAGATCACGATCACTATGTTCCAGGACAGCGTCACCCAGCTCAGGCAAGCTGACTGTGACTGCTCTTCGATACAGGCGATGAGCTAGCTGCGCGCACATGATCGGTTACCAGTGCCCAAGCACTGTCCATCTAAGTCAACTACCATCAGGATGAGCTGTTGGCAGGCGGGGGAACAAATAAATGATTGCAAGTTTGAGTCTACCGATATCAATTGGTTGTGGTGCAACTTCCGTTGACTGGTGTATTCGCTCCACCAGAATACATCCTCACGAAGCTACGATATCTAAAGTTGCACCCTCTCCACGTATATACGAGATCGCGAGGTGAGGGACGCATGGACGATTTCGTACACCATTGCATGGGTCGACAAAATACAAATATCCGTGAAACATTATCCGAGAATGGAAAATTTATGAAATATTAAAGTCGTCCAGCAACTGCATTCTCTACAATGAATAATAATCCATGTGCGGTATATGTTTACCCTCATTCGCTAGCCGCGGGTCGGGCGTGCGGGGGGAGGGGGTATTGCGATATTATGGACACCCAAGGCCGCTCAGAGCACGTCAGTTTGGAGCCATAATACTATGGATACATAACATCAAATCTCCGACCACACTTATATAACATATTGAATGTATTGACCAATAGTGTGAGCGTAGTGACATACAACCCTTTTTTAGCGAGTCAAATTAAACAAAGGCAATATTTGTAACCAATCAGAGAGTAGATGGACAAGTAAAGCTCCCGCAGCTACCTCTTCGACGTATCAAGTCGTAGAGAACAGTGCTGGTATGGATATCACAATACAAACACCAAGTTATTCGCATTTTTTCAAAATAACATCCAAGCTCCGACATTTCCGACAAAAGGTAACGCAATCGCATATTTTACAAACAACATCCAAGCTTATATATCTCCACCGAAGATGAGTCTGACCGACCTAGCACCTGCCAACACTAAGCGTGCCCGTGAGAATGCAGCGCGCTCATTTATAAAGTTCCTGGAGCAGGAAGAGGTTACTTGGGATTGCATGCAGCGCGAGAAAGCACGTCTCGCCTTATAAGCTGTGATGGAAAAGCTAAGCATGTATCTCGCGTTCAAGGAGAGCCGAAAGGGACAGCTCTTAGATCTACACTCGGTCATGTAGTACTTTCGACAAGCCAAGAATTGGCTGATGGAGTAGTCCCGCAGCATCGAGCAGTGGTTGAAAAGAATTTGCACGGAAAGAGACAGACGCTCGAACGCCATTGCATGAAGCGTGAATCAGGGTCCTTTGTTGACAAGGCCCCAGCATGCACAAACTCTGCACTCGAAAAAATGATGGAATAATTGTATTCAATTGCGGTTACTAGTGTTGGCTACCAAGATGCGGCGCTGTTGTGTCGGCTTTGGTACCTCTTTGGGCGTGCATCGGACCTCACAATGCTGCGGAAGGCTAACCTGTCTATCGGCTCGGGCGACATATTCTATGTCCGATTCATCCGAATCAAAATTTTGAAGAGCAAGGTATATCACTTTTCCCTGACGATGACTTCACCACATGTCCTCCACTTACCATAGCTCTCGCCCTCGTGACCCACTCATCGCCAACTATATCCGTACTGAGTCAGCTTCCTGAGCAGGTGGCTATTTCATAGTTCATATTAATTCCAGCAACTCCGCTCATCGATTTGCTTGATCACCCAGAGGTTGTGGTGTCTTCACTGGATATATTGTCCACCGCTCCTTAGAAGGAGATCAGCCCAGATACCGCTCCTGGTTTGCATAGCTACGTCAAACGATTTGTTGATCGGGTTGCTATAAAATCTGGCGTATCCGAGCGCTTGACATCTCACTCATTTCGGCGTAGAGGGGCGCAGCATGCAAATGGGGCTGGATTGTGTGTACATTGAATCTTCGACCGAGGCGCCTAGAATATGACAGCGAAGAATCAGGCCTTCGCGTACGTCTTTAATACAGCTTCCGAAGGCCATAAGGTTGCCAGGGTCTTGAGTGGTCGACACCTCGATTCCGACGTATCTCTTCTATCACTTGATGTCTTAGACTCCGGTACACAGACAAAGATACAAACTGTTGCGACAGCGCTCTTCAATGCATCTCAAGGGCTTATGAATACACAATAAAACGTGAACGAAAGAGTGGTAGAAACGCTTATCACTTACCTGCTGCTTCATTATCCATCGTTGAAGCAGCTCAAGAAAGACGGACTTGTAGTCACACGTTTGGAAGCGTATGTAATCCAGCAAGGTTACTCCATCAGCGATCTTCTAGCTTGGTATTCACATCTAACCTGCTACACGAAGACAAATATGCAATTGAATTCCATCAAGGCTATAGACAGCACGATCGACATCACAAAGCATTCAATATATCTTCGTCAATGTTTATTGATTGAACAGTTAATCAAGTTCAGCCAAAAGCTCAATCTCGCGTCTCGATGATTGAAGCTGAGGTCTACAACAAAGCACACCCAAAAACCACACACGAAAGAAGTGAGGATAAAAGAAATGAACCACCAGCCAAAAGTCGCCGAACGAGTCGTCAACAAACCTGGAGGTTGTCTGTTTTTCCTGGTATACCCAGAAACCCCACCTCTGAGATTCGTTGATAGCTCGAGCAAGCACACAAAAACCACCGCCAAACTTGTCGTTGCATTCATGAAGCTGTTTTTTTCTAATGGCTTCGTGCTTGATGAGACATCTCCTCAGTATCGAGACGATGTGTTGGAGCTTGGCGATGTCGCCTAATTGCAGTTACTTTCGTTTATTGACGAGCACAACATCAAAGTCCTCGGAGCACAAAACGTCCTCAAGTCAATGCGCAAGCTGCACAAAGCTGGTAATCTAATTAAACACATCCAATGATACAGACAACTTCAAGCCGCCGGGCGCATTGTAGATCCAGCACCTGCGCATACTACAAACATCATCGGATTAATTATCACTCCGCAGTACCCATAGGTGTTGGTCTTCACGCCATTGTATACCGGCTGAGTGATACCGCACTATAGAATGATTATCACAACAAGTATATTTAAACAAAATCGACGAGACCCGTTAGCTCGTCCTGACTCTCATGATACAGCGTATATACAGGATACTACAATAATCCATTTCACCCATAAGCGTCGAGTTCAGCTCGCTCTGAATCGTCTCGGTTATGATAGATGCGTATCACGTGACGGCGTGTAATTGTCGTGCTAGAAGGTTGGACCCTCCGTCGTCTTTTTCACTTTCTTCCGGTTATCATACATCATGTACGGAATAAACTCGCACATGGTCCTTTTCTTGTCGCTGTAGTGCGACTGGAAGTATCCGACACCGTTCTTGATTGAAACGCCAATCGTGGTCAGAGCTACAAACACGCATCAATTATCTATATTTAGAGCCTATCCTCTGACCGACCACATGCATCTCTACCACTTTAAAGCTTAATCTTGGTTTCAACGAAGTTAACGACTTCTGTAGTCTACCCAAACACGTTGCCACCCACGATCTCGTAGGTCACCCCATCTCCTTTTTCATTCACTTAGCATACTCGCACGAAGCAGATTCGTTGTCACTTTTGTCATCTTCACAAAATTTTACACTTTCCCTCTCTCGCTCCTTACATTGTAAAACATGCGCTGGTTTCCGTAGCAGTCATTATTTTTCACGCCCTTGTCGCAAAAAATAATTTACACATGATCGGACGAGAATAGCCGACCTTCGCGTACTTCAATATGATCTTCTTCAGCCCGTAAGTATGAGAGTACTTGACGTGGGTCTTTGGATAGCACTCGACGTACGGGTTGAAGCCCATCATGTTCACGCAGCCACAAAAATAACGTTGAACATAGTGAGCAACCTGCCACCCACCCATCCACCCATCTACGGTACTACATCTACTGTAGTCACAGAATGAACTAAAAAAGCTCCATTAAATATTTATTCGCCATACGTACACACGCATATTCTCATCGTTGACGACCGATCAATCGTAGTATACGCCATCTACTGCTTGCGTGGCGAAATGTCGAAAATGCCCAGACCGACGGGCACCTGACACACGGACCCAAGCAGCTGGCAGCTTAACAACAGGTGTCACGTAATACCATCACTGATGCCCAGCGTTTTGTTGAACACAGCAACCACGCTGTACACCATTTACGCACGGGAGAACGGGTCATCGGGATAGCACATGAATGGCATGTTGACCAACATGTATATGCTTACCTGTCATTGAATACAACATAACGATTATTTTCATTTAAGGACGCGCGTATGAGCATGCATGAAAACGGGTGCACGTGCGTATACGTTGAAGCACCAGCATGTACAACTCGTCCACAGTCCACATGTCGTTGTAGATTGACACTTTGGCACAACTTATGATGAAGTAAAGCAAATTAGCTTGTATAATCCTACTTTCGAGCACGCACACATGGACAGTCACTTTGCCTCAATCTTTCATATTAAAAGCTCTCCTATCA